CACGTGGTCCACAGCCATTTTTCCACCCGTGCCACGTGGTCCGCAGCCACTTTTCCGCCCGTGCCACGTGGTCCGCAGCCATTTTCCGCCCGTGCCACGTGGTCCGCGGCCATTTTTCCGCCTGCCGCGCGGTCCGCAGCTGTTTTTCCGCCCTGCCGCGTGGTCCGCGGCCGTTTTTCCGCCCTTGACGCGTGGTCCACAGATGCCGGAATGGATTAATAGTAATTACATTGAACCTTATGGGAAAATTTGCTTCGGGTTGCGAACAAATCGGGTTGCGACCAGAGTCACGGAACGGATTAAATTCGTAACCCAAGGTACCACTGTAGTTTACCTTCCTTTACGCTATCAGAGCAGAGAAATGCAGACATTACATTATGCCATTCCTCTGTGTACGGGATGTACCTTGTAAAAACAGAGAAATCCCCCACCTCCAGGGGGCGGGGGGGTGGAAGTCGTAAAACCTGGTGGTCCTTGTAACTGCAAGCATCCTGGGCTAAATCCAAACAATAAGCATCGATTGACATTCATGTAAATGAAAAATGGCACAGCTGAGAGAATTGGAGATTTTCTAAAGGTCTGAAATCTGATGCCTTGGCAAAAGTATCGCTGCAAACCATAGAAGTCTCATTCACATTAAATAAATCTCACAAATTAGACATCCAGTGGCATTGGAAGGGCTCTTCCAAAAAAACAAATGTTACATTTTGCAGATATTCTATCCAGATGCACAAAAATAATCACAGCAATAAATTGGAGTGAACAGCACAATTTTTTAAAACTCAAAAGAAACTGAACTTGTTTTAACATTATGCAGAAAGTCCAGTTACAGCATTTCCTTTTAATATCTATTAATTCATTACCCTACAAAGATTGAAAGAACCCATGTAGAGTGCATCAGTATTAGATATCTCTAAGGAACAACTGGAAAAATCTAAAGTTTTTTTTTTAAGTGACAAATTATACAGCCTCGGTGTATAACTTTTATTTATTTTTAAATTTATTTTTCTTCTAAAAACTCAGCTGAACAGTAAAGATGAACTATAAATGAGAATTTTGACACCAGGGCGCAAGGCATTTTGAAGACACCTTGATCCAATCATAATGCATGTCTGAAGTACGTGAATTGACCAAAAAAAAAAAGTGGAATCCGCAAGACAAGGATACAAACTCATCAGAAACAGCAGTTCACCTTACAGTTCATCTGCTTCAACTATAATGTCCTGCAACAATTATGCAATAAGCACACACTTCCATCTTTGAAGTAGGAATTTTGCTGTTCTTTCTCCAGTTCATCACAGAGATACAGGTTACAAGAGTTCCTTTCCAATAAAAAACACAAAAATGGATTAATAGATAATGTTGATAGGATGGTTTGTTTTGTTTAGAAGAGATAAGGCGACTTGGTCTGGATTTTATTCTACTATTATTTATAAAATGCAGGTTTGTGTGGGTTTTTTCCCAATATGCCTCCAAATTCATATGAAGAATACTGCCTCTAGCTGAAATTTCAGATGCATATAAGCCTATTCATAGTTTATAACTTACTAGAGAGGAAAAATTCCAGACTGCTTTCTCACCCCAATGACCAGATCATATAACTAAGGTCTTTATAGTCTGAAGGCAAACAACATGACTTAAAAGTTTCTCAACTAATACAACTAATAGTTAAAACAATCAGTGCAAACTCAAGCACTGCTGTGCAGGTCCACCCTCAAAGCAACATTCCAGTTGTACATTAGCTTTGGGTTTATGTTCTGATGGGATCTCTCACCACCAGTTGTGATTTCACACAATGATTCATCAAGCACAAAAGTGTTTTAGTTCAACATGCATTTCAAATGTCTTCTATGAATGGAATTAGCCCTATTTCTCATCATGCCACATGGCTTCACCCAAATGGTCGTGTCACACAAGCAGCAAGTCTCAGGCCGTTCTGGAGTGCATTCCCTCTCAAAATCTTTTGGGTTTTTTGGCTACCATATTCAGACAGATGTCAACTGAATGAAAGAGGACAGGAAAAAGGGGAAATAAGTATTTTTCTTCATACAAGGCCAGAATGGGATGTCTTTTTATTTGCACTTTTAGAATTTCCCAAAAAGAAAGGCCCTGAACAAAAGGCAATTTGCAATATTCCACCAAGCATAACAAAGGAATGGCTGAAAAAAGTGGTTTTGAACTTCCATCATTTTGAATCTACTGGATGAAAAGAACCCAGCTTTCATGCTGAACATATGCTGCATCCTCCATCTCTTTTCTGCATAAAGCCCGAAGCATTTTTTTTTCTCCCAGATCAGCCATCACAGGCCTGAACATTGTTATTTCTGCTGTGTGTGTCTATAATTAAACAACTACTGACATTGCCTATTAAAGCAATAAACTTCATATTCTATTTTAGCTTGATGCAAGACTCTAATTGGAAGAAAAATAAGCTCATTCTTTACATACTAGCATATAACTATCCAATGGCTTGACCCCATTTATGAGACCTGAACAAGTCTAGAACGTGTTCAAGCAGAGCTCCTCCAGGTAGCCTAGATTACAAGTTTCATTAACCCCTGGCATTGTCCATATTAGCTGTACATAAGGGATTTAGGTCAACATATTTGGAAGACACTAAGATGGGAGAATTCTGCTCTACAGCATTCCTGGGGCAATGATTATGTATTATTTCATGAGAACCCCATCTTTTTCCCCCCATACTTCATCTTAGACTTCTCTTTCCTTGAGCTTATGCGGTGGCTCAGGGCATGTCTTGAGTTTCTCCCTAGCCTGATAGAGGTTATACAATGAAATATCAACTCTCCTTGAAACTATATTTTTTTTAAAAAAATCTAACATGTTAGTCCAATGGCTTACCTCAAACACAACTTTTGTATAGTTCTTTTAGTAGTAGGTTTTTGCAGAGGCAAAACTGCATATTATTTTAAAATTCTTTATTAATGAAAGTTCCTCTAGCTATCTACAGCTACTCCTGTTTCTTGAAGACAGAGCCACAAAAGGCAGGTGCAACTGATTCCCTGGTTAAAAATATATTTAGTGAGCAAAAAGCCAATTTACTCATATACATGTGTTCATTCATACACAAACCTTTACTGTATTATGAAGATGATAAGAAGCCTGGAAGGCAAAACTTTTGCAGAATGGCTGGAGGCACTGGATATGTTTAACCTGAAAGCATAAGACAGTGGGGAGACATGACAGCTTTCTTTTAAATATCCAAAAAACCATCATGCAGAAGATGGAATTGAAAGGTTCAGAGTGGTTCCAGAAGACAGGTTAAAAAACCATTTAAATTATGAGGAGGCAGATTTTAACTGGACCTCAGGATGAATTTCCTAAACAGCTGTTCTGCAATAGAACAGAATGTCTCAGAAGTGGACTGTTCTTCACAGGCTGATCAGCCCTCTATTAGATATGCCTTAGTAACAGCTCTCAGCACAGGGGGGTTGGGTTGGACTAGATATTTTCCAAGAACCCTTCCAACCCTTTAAATCTATGATTTCAGAGATAACAACAGGATGAGGGAAAGGAGGAGTTGTTGGTGGATGACAGAAACTTGGGGACATAGGAAGCCACATCTGACTCCAAAGGATTTGTACATACACTGCCTGCTTCTTTATAATTCCCACAAATCCCTAATAAAAGATACTCCCACAACAAATCTATGGAAGTGTCAACTACATACAATTCTTTACTGCACAAAATTCTCTTTCATCCTTGAGATTTTTGAAGCTGTATACACCACCAGAAATATTCAATCAATTATCTGGAAGAGAAAGCAGAAAACCTGGCCAGTAATGTTATGCCATCTTCATCAACCATACTAGCTAGAAATTCTGGGAGTTCTAATCCCAACACATCTGGCTGCAAGTTGCAAAAGGGTGGTTTTGATAAATAGGCATACAGATTAGCTATAGGCAAACCCATATAGATAAATCATATCCCCAAAAGATTAGGGAGAAAAAGAATGAATTTTGCAGGCAGGATATTTGCTTACTCAAAATTCTTAGCAAAGGGCGCTCCCAGACACCATCAAAGGCATATCATCCTTCTCAACATATTTTTTGTTTGTAAAGACAGCAGTAGGGTTACACCTGTAAAATTCCCCAGATGGACAATGATTGCAGAATAAAAACTTAGTCTAGAAGCACTCTAGGTAAGTAAAGCTGGCAGATTTGAATTTAATGGAATAGCAGGATTCCAGGAATTAAAATGAAGTCACAGCCTGAGGTACATAAAATTGCAATATTTGCACAAGTGATACACAAGCAGAGGAAACACTGGCAAATGCTCAGAATGTAATGGCTCTGCCCTCTTCAGGCCATTTGCATTAACTTAAAGAAACTCAACCAAAAGGCAAAACTAAAACTCAAGGAACATAGCTGGGCTGAAGGGCTTTCAAGGAACAGTTTCTATAATATTCTCCAGAGCAATTTACAGAAATCACACAGGGGAGAGTCTTCCACTGAACTAATTGGTAGTTGAGAAGAAAAGCACTGGCTATAGACAAGAAAAATGGAGCAGAGACAGTCTCATTGGGACCATTTTTCACTGGAATTGGTAGGGTAATTGAACTTGATCATAAATCACAGTAATCATTCATTCCTCTTACACACATAAATGTTATGAGCCACAATTTAAAGATCCTGATGTGTTTTTTTAAGCAATACTGCTGCATGTAGGTAATAATTTATTCTAGAAAAACCACTGAAAAATCACTCCATTCAGTTTAAAGAGGATCTACATGACAACAGTATCCATTCAAAATCCTTCTATGTTTTCACAGTGCTACTACTGGTTCTTATCAGAGCCTATTTTTAATAAAGGCAGCAGAATCTCCATAAATTCAGATGTTCTTAGTACCATTAACCTATCTTAAAAAAAAATGCTGCTTTACAATTGGCAGATGGGTATTGGGCAAATAAAACTATAGGAGCTCAATATGCATTAACATAATTTTTGCAGTGGGAAAACATTTTTATCATTTACTTTTATTCCAGCAATTATTTAAATAAAAGAATGCTATAACCACAAATATATATAGTTTTTTAAAATGACATAAATGGTTGATTTTATTCA